TCACTGGGTGCCCCTCCAGTTTTTGTGTATTTGTGTGTCTCAAATGACATCCATTCTTTGACTTTCCTAGGCGACAATCAAGTGTTTTCCAGCCTATCGAATATTCTGGGTGAATTATTTGAATGCCACAAAACCCCTCGTTTGTGTGTTTTGGTGTGTTGTTAAGTGTTGTGAAGTCCCTTCCTACTTTCAGAGGATCCATGGATAAATGATCTCAGAAATGTCCAGTCCTCCTCAGCCGTGCTCAGCTCTTGTAAACTCAAGCCTATGACTTCCTTTAGGGAATCTCATACTCGGTTTTCCTCTTTTCCTCCTACCTTCCACCTTTCTCAGCATGAATCCTTTTTCCAGATAATCCTACTTTCCCATGATGTGACCAAAGTCACAAGGTAACATAGAATTGTTTTTGAAAAAATACATGTAGAAAAATCTCAAGAAATCAAGACATTTTCAATAAAATAGAACCAAACCAAAAAAATATTAAAATATAATTCATTAAAAAAGTTAAAATAGATTTTAAAATCTGACTTTTTTAAAAAAAAATGGTAATAAAAATGGAAATTGCCTTTACCTGAAAATCTTTCAAGGTTTAGAGGTTTAAAAAGCCAAATTAAAAAGGAGGGTTTTCATTTGCCAGCTGAAGGTCTCCAAGGAGAGGCCATACTAGCCATGTGTGTCAAATAATTTCATAGATATGTTAACATTCACATTACAAAGTATGTTTTCTTGGTCTCTTGGTCTCTTTTTTCTTCAGATCCAAAAATAAGGGGAGGTTTAAAACAAACAAACAAACAAACAAACAAACAAACAAACAAACGGCAAAGTGCAGTTTCCTATCTATTCTGTGTACATAAATCAGCTTTATACTCTGGAATCAAATGGGAATTCATCACCACATGCCCTCAATGCTTAAACGGTCACCACACATTCATTTTATATTTCAAAAAATGGGCAGAAAAACATCTGGAGACCTTCCAAAATGATGTTCTTCAATCCAGTGCCCACTAAGTGGGTTAGACTACAAGGAGCATCATCCACGACACAGCACAGACAAGATGGAGGGAGGAGTGGCCAAAAGATAAGTGGGAGGAAATCTCAGTGGGACCTCCTTCCCCAGCCACACCATGATTTTGAGAAAGAGGCAGGATGAGTAGCTGAGGGGAAGAAAACTAGTCTGGAAGTGGTCTTCATTCTAGAAAGATACAGTGTGGAAAAAAAACTCTGTACCTTGTGGTGATGTTCCACAACACAGCCATCATTACATCTCTTGTTTTCCTGCGGCTATTTTAGAGCATCTCCCTGCCTGAGCCCCCTTTCAAGACAGTGCCCGTGTGGTCTAGCAGTGAGAGTGTCAAACTAGGTGTTGGAGCGATCCAGGTTCAAGTCCCCTCAGAATGTGGTCCTGACTGGGTCATTTTGGGGCCATTTTTAGTCTCTCAAGCCAACTTACCTCAAAGGGTTGATGTGCGGGTACAAAGGTGAGGATGGGGGAGTCATAGACCACCTTGAAGAAGGGTTGTGCTAGTGATGATGAAGAAGACCAAGAAGATCTATTGATGTACTTCACAGGATGGTTGCCAGAGGATCTGCCTTCCCTGAAGCGCTCGCTTTCCTCCTTTATGGTTGGTGGATCGCCATCAGTAGACCATGGCCATCCACTTGGCAAAGGGCATTCCAGGGAAATGAAGAAAGAGGGAGCGTCCACCCGTAGCAAGTCGGCCTCTTTGGTCTCCTGGGGCCCTGGATGCACTCTTGGGACTTTTAACCAGCCTTTAGGCAGGAATAAGATGGTACCTAACACCTGCACCTGTCCCATATCTATTATAAAGATCAGTCCTATGGGTCAAGAGCAAGGGAGTTCAGGTTAGCAGGGGAACCATTGAATGGAATGTATTTATTTAAAATATTTTACCTTGCCTTTCCCCTTAAAAAGGACCCAAGAAAAAGATCAATCAAACACCACACGTAAAAACTCCCAGAATATCCTAAACAGCATGGAAGGATGGAAGGGATGGCCACAATAAAACAACAACAACAACAACAACAGTAATAGTAATAGTAATAGTAATAGTAATAAGCTTCCATTCCACAGTGGAACAAATCTCACGACCACACAGAAGAGCCTTCCTGGCCACACGGTGGCATTTGCTGCAGCCACGTAAGGATTTTTAAAAAATTTATTAAAGGCTAATGAACAGGCAAGTTTGTCTAGCTTTCTATTGAAGTGAGAGCATGGAAACAGGCCTTTGATTTAAGGTTGAAAGTCATCTTTTTTTGTCCTGCAATGAGAAGATTCTTTTCGATCTTCTTGGAAGAATTAGCAAGCTAGAAGTCTTGGGCTTATCACAATAATTAATTAGGAACATGGGCAAAAGATATAACATAAAGAAGCAGATTCACCAAATACATCTGGCTAGTACTCAAATGAGAGCTTGACAAGTACATTCTCCCTCCTGCTTTGATATCTCTGTTCCTAAGACAGTTCAGTCATATTTTTTCCATCCAACTATTCCACGTTATTGTAGAGCCTTTTTTATATGCAAGACTGAATATTGTCCCTTCAATGGAGATATAAGGAAGACTGTCAGGGCAATTTTACTCTGAGAGAGTCTGTCTATGTGACAGCAATAGCCTGGATACTTTTTCACATATCCTGTGTTCTTGCCTTTTTTTTTTTTTACGCAGCTGCGAGACACTGTTTTATTAAATATGTATTTGATTTATTGGAAATACTATTCTCTAGAAGTCTTGTACCTACACTATTTGAAGATAAAAAATCCTCATTTCTCTGTAGCAGTTGCTAAATCTTTTTGCTGCTATTCAGTGCTCCAAGTTAATTGAATATCATGTTATTGAAATCTTTTGGTTTCTGCTGATCAAGAATTTTTCATGAGCTTCTATGGAAGGGAAGGAAAGGAGATTTCAGTTATCTTGATATCTATTAGAAGACATATTCTGTCAAATATGGCCCTTCCTGGCTTGTGTAGGTGGTAATTTCTGCCTACAAATACTGGACGAAAAAGCTAGAGGAGTAGCTATCCTTGACTTGAGTCTAAACCACTGGTTCTTAACCTTGGGTTACTCAGGAGTTTTGGACTGCAACTCCCAGAAGCCTTCACCACCAACTGTGCTGGCTGGCGTTTCTGGGAGTTGCAGTTCAAAAACATCCGAGTAACAAATGAGAGAGAGACCTCTATAACAGAGCTCCGCAGCGTACAGAGTGTCTGTTTACAATTTCAGCCATCTAGCCAGCCAGCCACAGCCTCTACCTGGATGCGTCCTTCCATCCGGTCCATCAAAATCGTTGGTTCCAACCTTGGGTCCCCAGATGTTCATGGACCAGACTCCCAGATGCCTTCACCCCTTTCTGTGCTGGCCACGATTTCTGGGAGTTGTAGTCCAAGAACATGGGACCCGTGGAGGATAGAAAGGTGATTGACACAGAAAGAGAATATGTTTTAGATCAGATCTGTTGTCTTATGGAAACATAATATGGAATGGGCACAGAGTATATTTTACTGATTATATATCACATGCCTGTTGTCTTTTACAGAGGTGGTTAAAGAGAGAGGGGCATCTGATCACATACATGGACAGACAGAAAAATGAGTGATGTTTCATATATTAGCCAGACAGAAATACAGGATTTGGGGAAAGGCTAGCTGAATCTGCACTTCTGTAGAAGGAAGATCTGTATTTGTATTGAAAAAGGCTGTAAGATCGGGGGTGGGGGAGAGGGAAATACCGATTTTCCTTTATTGAACATTTCTGACCGTCTGGAGTCGTTTAAAAGGATCTTAAAATGAAATGCCAGCTATTGAGAGAATGGATACCTACGGGGAGGGGGAGAGAAGTCAGAGACAGACAGACCGACAGACATGGTTACAAAAAAAATCCAAAAAATAAACATTTCATGAAAACTCACTTTGGAATAATTTCATGTTCAACGTTTTCTGAGCATGGGTCACCTTGTGAAATTGACTGCCTCT